TTGTCTTTCCTTATGGCATGGCAAGGAAAGTACACTACGTTACTCGCTGAAGGTTGGAGATTTATAGCATCCGTACTTCTTCTTCTTTTTTCTTCTTCTTTTTCTTTTTCTTCTTCTTCTTATTCTTCTTCTTCTTCTTCTTCTTCTTCTTCTTCTTCTTCTTCTTTTTCTTCTTCTTCTTCTTCTTCTTCTTCTTTATTGACGTTGACGAATCAATATAAGCGCGATATTCATCTCTTATTTTTGCTTTGACAGCAATTGGAAATATCAAGTGAAGCCAGGTCACTTCCCCACCTGATCCTTTCAACGGAGTGGTGGTCTTCCTCTTCCTCTGCTTCCACCAGCGGGTACTGCATCGAATACCTTCAAAGCTGGAGTGCCAGTCCAGCCATCTGTTCACTCTAAAAAAACAGCTTGACTAGGTGATTGGATGCTTGGATAAGCCTAGCTCTCTTTCCCCTTTTTTCTCTCTCTTTCTCTTTTTAATTACTCTCTTTGTGATATTTTCAAAGTACGCGTTTATGCTCCCTCCAGCAGGAGTCAATATAGACTACCTTGATCAGTTCGTAGAGTTCCTTAACACTTCGCCTAAGGAATCCTAGCTTTCTGTTCCCACCATGGGGCGCCACGTTAAATATGTATTTGAGGACGCGCGTGATGTAATGGAACTCCGACTTGCCGTTCTTCCAGTTGAGAGTTCTACAGACATGTTTCGTGTTTCGTTAAATTCTTTATTACTATCTTCAAGTACAAATCCCAGTTAGTATTCTTAGGATTTCTATAAATTTCACTTTTATTAAAACTGCAAATGTTGTTAAATTGTTGTTGGTGCCAATACTGGTTCCAAGATATATGAAGTTTTCTACGACTTCAAACGGCGATGTGGGAGACGAGTCACGAATGCAATGATGGTATTTCGTCTTGACCTCGTTCACTACCAGACCTATACACTACTGCTCTTCCTTCCCACCAGCAGGCTAGGGATTCAAGAACTTACCAGCGGTAAGGTATTTGCAATCCAATTGTTCCCGCGACAGTCGCGTCTTTATATCGGAACGAAGCAGATCTTTTATCCGACCAAGGACTGTCACTCCCGCAATATTCCCCAAAAATTACTTTGAGGAATATTTTCGATCTAAAGCCACACTGACCAGGTTCAATCATTTTGTTGATCCACATAATGCGCTCGATAGGACCTAATATGCGATATTGAGTAGACTTACATCACGGTAATCGGCTCCGACGGTGGGATCCAATTCCAAGTATTTGAATAGCTCGAGCGGCAATACAAAAGCTTTCTCCGGTCTTTTGTACGTCGCTGTATTTTTTCATAGAAATCACCTTTGTCGACCTGTTCCTCCAGCTCTTAATTTCATGCTTTGGCCACATACTGGTGTCGCTCGTAACTTAGCGAGGTAGGCAGCCTGCTTTGTCTCCACTGAAACACGGCAGTCCTAGTTGTACCAGCTGGTTTTAGCTTGTTTAATGCTGTACGCAAGGAGCTTGAAATGCCGTGCCACAGTTACCGTATACCGGGTTACTGATGAGTGCTCTCAGAGAGCAGGTGTACAAGTCGAGTAGAAAACCGCTCGGCAGTGTACTGTGATTGCAGCTTTTTGACGTCGAACGTTCCTTGTGGTCGTTGACGGCCGTGATTTGCATGGGATGGTGCAAGTCGATATTGGGTCCTCGGAGTGTACGCACGTCAAAAACACCAGAGACATGGCTTCCGTCCATCACAACATGATCGATCTAGTTTTGGGTTTTCCGTTCTTGATACAGCCAGTTAGCTTGGGCAGTTTTCTTGGGCTGGAAACTAGTACTGCAGACAACCATATTTCGAGCCCCACCCCATTTGGAAAGTTTCGTCGTTTAGGCTGAATCTCTCCACAGTTTTGGCGAAGATACCTTCTTTTCCCAACATGGCGCTAAAGTCGCTCATAAGTATGTTCGAGGCACTCATAAAAGGTACCCTCGGTCGCAGCGTCCTTCTCTTCCATCGGGTTTGGTATAGCGTTGTAAACTTTTCATTGGAGCTGGTTTCTACGGAGGCGGCGGGTCGCAATCCCAGCGCATAACTTCACTTGGGGAGTAAGGTTCCAATTCATATTCTTTACCTCCAATAAATTTTTCTGAAATTATAAAGTAATAAAAACACCAACAAATACACACACACACACATGCATAGAGCGAATTTTGAATGCAAACTTTTTTATGTGCGTTCAAGTTAATAGCTTTTGCAAGCCATTTCACTTTAATGTTCATGCACGACACTTACATTTACGTATATATGTAAACGTACACATACATATACACACACTTTACAACATGACATGCATTGTGTGTGGTAGTTACACACTTACCCAATCCTCAAAATGTCAACGAGTTGCATCTGAAACTGTCACGTTAGACACTCAACGGAAAAGGGTGGGAACACACATACTTATGCATATGTGTGTATGTATTCGTATATCTTTTGCGCAATTGTATGGGTTACACGCACTTATGTGTATATGGTTGTGCGAATATTGAATCAAGCCGTTATGATTAACTCGCATTGAGAGTATGACACCAGCGTTGACACGCTCATATTAACTTTGCCAAGAAGCTGTGGTGATGGCTGTGGATGCTACATACTACTGCATGTGCATATGTACTGGTATATGTGAGTAAATGTAATCGGGAAGCGGTTGACAATATTTGTTGCACTGATTACCCAACCAGTGAATGAATGAATAAATGAATGAAAGCCCATCCTGGCTGTCTATCGTGTTGGCAGTCCCTGCTACTCACTGCGGCTGTTGGAAATTTCAAGCTTGACTGCTGTCAAGTGCAACAAAGCGCCATATGACACACATACCTACATAAATGTGAATACCTTTGTTCGTTATAAATATTTGTACTTTGTGCATGAAGAGATAGCGAGGGGGCGGCAGTAGTGACAGCTGTGACAACAACAGCATCAAGTTGTTCGTTGGCTTATGAAAGATGTCTGGCAACATTGTTTGAAAGCTTACATGAACGCATCTCCATTGTTTGGCCGGCATCATACGCTATCATATACATATATTATACATATGTACATACATACATATGTATATAGCATCATACACCCGTTTCATTGACAATAAACATAAAAGTAACTATAAAAGTTGGTGCAACCAAATCCATTTACAATCTGACGTAAGAAGAAGAGTTTACAATGAATATTTTGTGTCAGTTGAAAATCAAATTTCCTTGTGGTCGTTCGTAAGTGTACAAGACATGTCCCATGGAAAGGGAGACTAGCCACAAACACTTTCCTCTCTTTTTCTTTACTACGAGGAACTCTTGTAAGAGAGTGAACGAAGTTAGAAGACACCCACGCATTAAAGCAAAGTATTCTTTTCAACATTTTTGGGTTTACAACATTGCTACAACAAAAGAGTGCTACAATGTTATGAAGAGTATTTCGTTGGCACTTTGGTGTACTTTGCGCTCTTAAAGTTATAATAAAGGAAGAAGATATTTTACGCAGAGCCTCTTAGACGGTCTGGACTGTTGCTGTTGGACTTTAATTGAGTTTGAAATATGCTTTTTGTACCTGCAGATGATAAGAAAAAATCCTCAATGTTGTGATAGATTGAAGGAAAGTAACAGGTGTCTGGATAAGCATACGCCCCGAGATTTTAATAATGACTCGAACTTATCACAGTCTCTCTCTCTCTGTAACTAAGAATGCCCGTCAACAAATATTTGCACGGTTTGCTCTCTCTCTCTCTCACCTCTCTCTCTCTCTCTCTCTCTCTCCCTCTCTCTCTCTTCCTCTCTCTCTCCCTCTCTCTCCCTCTCTCTCTCTCTCCCTCTCTCTCTCTCTCTCACTCTCTCTATCACTCTCACTCTCTCTCTCCCCCTCTCTCTGACGATATTCATTACCATGAACTTGCTACAAAGAAACTGTGAAACGGCATTTCACACTTCCTGCGTCAAGAGCTGAGAGGAAAACAACTGCTAACCTCTCATTAGATAGTAATTTTCGAAGAAAAGAAGAGAGGAATTGTTTGTAGACAGCGAGAGAAGCTGACAGTGACAATAAATGTTGAAACATCTTATGAAGAAAGTTATGGAGGAAACACTCTAATTGAAGTAACAGACTAATTGTGGCACCAAAGAGGATATTTAGAGCCTCCAGCTGCCGGGCATTTCAAGGAAGGAGTGGACAAGATTAACTAGTGCACGTTAAAGTGCGAGTTAAAGAGCTGGTCTTGTTGCCAATGTTCAAAGTATGCAGAGTTTATGAAGGCAACACTTCTTCAGCCTGCTGAATGACAGTGTAAACACCAGGAATACACATCATGCGATGTCGATGGAATATATCTTCGTGCCTAAAACTATAACGAAGAATAACACAGAAGCAAAAGGCAATGCTCCACCGATCGAGCTATTCAAAGAACCAACCAAATACATGCGAAATGGGAAAAGAGGAAAACTCTTCGTCGATGGACTGTTTGGACCTTATCACTATTATTTTGCAAAATTGGGAACCAAGCCAAGCCAATTACGTCCATTCGGGAGCCAAAACTAACACCAATAACAATATTAACCTGAACATTTTCAAAGAAAACCTAATTTACGTTGACTTGACTTTAAGACGCTTTGAGAGAAACAATTATGGAGTTTTTCATGAAAGAGCATGTCGTCCAGTTAATTAAAGTGCTCAAGCTTTGAAAGCTTATGCTGCAATATCCGCTGATGGATGTAGTCCGGCTTTACTTGATGGCTGAAGTGCTGTGCTTGACTAAAATCGCTTTAGCGATACCGACGCCTTTCAAGAAGAAGAAAAATGTGTGCAGGTGATTGGTATTGCGGTTCAAGTCCGTATTCGGGTTTCACATCTCTAGACAAAAAGTGGGTCTGGGTAAAAAATTAACATGCTAAGAGATAAACTAGAGAGCGCACAATGAGCGCTCTCTTTTAAAGCTTCAAGTGATATTGTTTGAGCAAAAAATATATTATTGTAGTGCGCTCTCTACTAGTTTGTCGTTTTGTCATTGCACATTCCAGTAGATTATAGAATTTTCTGTTAAACAATCATGGTGCCGTTATAGTGAAAAGTGTTTGTAAGAGAAGGTATTAATAAATAATAAATGTGCTTAAATTAGTTTTAAAATAATAGAATTTGGAAAAAAAAATGCAAGATAACCAGCACGGGCACGCTGAATCAAGCTTGGACGAGCAACTCTACGCTACCCTGCGTCGAATTGATAAAGCGAACTGCGAGTACCTATACGAACGCTGCAAAGGTACTGTTATTGCCAACTCATTTTGATCTCACAAACATACAAACTTACATATGCAATTAATATTTATAAATATATTGAAAAACAACAAACTTTAACTATTCGCGCAGCGCACAACGTGAACGCGCGTCAACTGCGCTACCTGAGTGCCAGCCACATTGCGGTACTGATACCGGTCTCCCAGTTGGGCATTCGCGTGGAATTCGAGCACTTACTAAAGGAGTGGATATCGAAATGTAGTGTGGTAGAGAAGGTATTTCGATGTAGGTGGGCGAGGGAAACATGGAAAGGATCTGTGCGATCCTTGAATGAGACGAAAACGCAAAACGCCAGCACAATGACTGTATACCCATCTTGGGAATGTCGTGGGACTAATGCAGAGCCACCAACTACAGCGGCTAAGAGTCTTGCGACACAGAATGCCAAGCCAAACAATAATGAAGCACGGAAGTCCCACGAGGATGGAACATTTGTCGACTGTATCGAACTTACTCCAACTGAATCAACAACCCCCGATTCTCAGCAATATGTGAGCATTCCCTTAAGTACAGAGCCACCAACTATAGCGCCTAGGAGCCATGCGACAAAGAATGCCAAGCAAAATAGTGATGAAGCCAAACTTCATCACGAACTTACCCCAGCTGTGTCAACAACCTACTATTCTCATGTGAGCTTTTCCTTAAGTCCAAGCTGTGTAGAATTTCATTTTTTTTAACACTTTCTTACAGTCTCTAGGCAAGATTATACCCGTCTGCTTAGCGGAGTGCCAAAAGAGTTATAAAGAAAATGGTAATTTACTACTGGAAGCGGATCGTCTGCAACTTACTCGCGCCATAATAAATTATTTAGTGTCTCGTAAAATAAGCTTTAATTGGAGAATAGCTGAGCAGTTAGCCGATCAGATTACGGAGCATTTCCCCACCGAGAGAAAGGTATGTGTCTGAATATTGAAGAAAGATCTAAATGAACCGTGAGGAAGAAAGTTAAAATATATAGAGAAAGTTAATTTTGGTGGCGGCCGCAATACCCGAGTGATTAGCAGTGCGTGCTAGAGAACAACGTCTAAAATTAAAAATTAAAAATATTAAAATGCAGTTGCTCCTCGGCGTGGATTGCCAACCCACCCTCTCACATGATATCTAGATATTCTTATAAAACCCCTTCAGCCATGCTTGGCGGCCTGGCATAAACTATAGGTTCCTCCATTAGTTAGAAAAAAAATCAACAGGCATTCCACAAATTTGAAGAGGAGCTCGTATAGGTTGCACGCGCAAGAACATGGGTCCGAATCATGTTAAGATGATCGTTCATCCAAAGTTTATTAAACGTTTTCTTTTTCCTACTCGTACGGAAAGCCGACGCCTCCAGATTTATATGTATATGCGGTATAAAAGCGTTTCTTAAAAATCCATCAACAGTTCGAGAGCGACTTCAAACAATAGGAACTATAGGTGTCTTCATTTCCGTGCGCCGTACGCCATCAGTCAGAGTAGGTGCGCTGAGGGTTATTTTGTTCTATTCCTGATTAGACAAGCTTAGCAAGAGAGCACTCCTCAACAACCTCGTTAGGTGTGACTTAGTAAAAATCTTATAGGACTTAGCCAAGGTCAAGAACACGGTTCTACAGCCCTATGTAACTTTTCGTAACAAAATCGGAGAACTTACCACTAAACCATTACAGCACGTCTGGTATCATAACTATTCAGGTGGTAGTTTACTAACACAATTTTACTATGAGGGTCAGCGGACGGCAGCGAAGTCACATCGCAAGGTAATGGAAGGCTATGAAGGTGTGTACTACTATAATATTAATATATATACACATACATGTATATATATATGTACATTTATAGACAAATCATCCAGTTCAACCAACTGTGAAGCTATCTCACAATTGTTGAACATGTGGAAGGTCTACTGGCCAAAAAGATGTGAACTGATCAAACGCCTAAAGACCGGCCGCGTCCAACGACTGAACAAGCTGTTCGCCGCATGGCCAAACTACCGGAATGCATACGGCACCGAGCTAGTAAGTCGAAAATGCAGTAAATTGCAAAAAAAAAAACAAAAAATGATGAAAATCTTTAACAAATTTTCCACACCCTCTTCGCCAACGTACGTGTAGTTAGCCTACGACTTTGAGCAATTGTATCCGCATAAAAACGCGTTATTTAAGAAACGTTGGCATATATTCAGCACAACCATTGCCGAGCACTTAGAGCGGCGGCTGAAGATCTGTGAGACTTTGAGTCTTTCTCATCATATCAAGGAGCATTACACAAACGATGGTAATGCGAATTCTGGCACACATTGCCTGGACTTAAAATTAATATTCATTGCAATTTTTCTCTTCCTCCAACACAACTAGTCAGTCGAGAATGCTTCCTCCTCCATCTGATGCACTTCATCACGACACCGTCACACTTATACAACACACCAGACTTCAAGAATTTGCGACAGCAACATGTCATCGAATCGCAGCATGCGACCATGCGCCTCGTGGACAACGCGCATACATCGGGAAGTTACGAGTTGCATCCATGTATTTTCATGGTGGGACGCAAAATCTCCGAGATCACCCAGTGTATTATGGCTTGGCGTGATTGGCGTTTTCAATTGCCCCTCGGCGATGCACTGCTCGCTGTGCTGCAAATTTATCTCATCTTCAAGTTGAAAATTCCGCCGGCTTGCCAGAATTTCTGGCAATTTGTGCGTGATTCCTTTTGCGATATTCAATGGCCAGATGATATCTCGTGCGCAGAATTAGATGATGTAAAGGAATTTATATATGTAAAAACAGTTTCGAAAAGAATGAGGCAAAGCAGTGCACTATGAAAATGGCATGAAATATATTAAAAAAAATTTGTTTCTAATATTTGACATTTTCTGTGAATCTATTACTTACATATATGTATGTATTGTATGTAAAATTAAAAAAATAAATATTTGTGAAAATCATGGCAGAAAACAAAACTGATTCCAACGTACTAACTAGCGCCGCGAGAAATTCATCTTCCAGCTCTGACTCGAGTACTGATGTTCCAGTTGGTCCTTATCCTGAAGATAAACTCAATACGCTGATGAATAAGTGCTGGACGGATGCGATAATCAAAAGTGGTGTTGGTTTCGGCATTGGATTGCTATGCTCGGTGTTATTTGTACGTCGTTTCTGGCCGCCGTTGCTTGGAGCCAGCTTCGGCTTGGGTGTGGCTTATAAGGAATGTGAACGAAATCTCCTATCGCTAACAGAGTGTGAGCCAATTTTTGAAGTGAAGGGGAAGAGAATTTTGTAATGATTTGTATTATTGTTGTGATTTGCTAAATAAAAGAACAGAGCTAAAAATAATTATTTTGGAATCAATATTTCAATGGGAAGACGTAAAACTTTGAGAACAGTCAAGCAACTGGTAAGCTCTTCATCAAAAATCTGATTATAAGAACTTATGCCCAAGCCTGATCTTGTTATCATAGTTACATAATATCGAACATATATACATATGTACATACATAAATATATTTAACAAAATCTGGTATTTGTGTGAGTTTAATGTTTGAATAATGCCCAGAGGTTAACTACAGCGCATTTCCTTCCACATGCTTGTACAAATGTATATGTAAACATCTACATGTCATTGGTAGACATACTCACCACGGTTTTTGTTTACATTTTATTTGTGTTATCAATATTGTCATCAGATATTTTGTTACAATATTTGCTAGCGTTTGATAAGCAGCTGAGCGATAAAGCTTTAACTCTCAGTAGTTCTCTCTTCACTTGTTCTCATACTCTCACTGAGCTTTCAGTTAGCATTTGAGTGAACGCTAGGGCTGCCAAGTATAAGACAAATATGCTCCGATTTCTTATGCAAGAAGGGCTTAAGAAACTTCAACAACTACATTTGTGAGTTATGCTGAAAAAAATTAATAATAAATAATTAATTAATAATTTTATAAATATTTTTTACCCATATAACTTTTAGAAAGAAAGATATATAAATAAAGATGTTCTAAAATTCTCATGCATAAGTGCTAAAAAAAATTTTGATAAACATAATCGCGTATAAATTTCAATTAATTATTTTGTAAGAAAAATGTTGAAGAATTAAAGCTTCCAGAATAATATTTAACAACTTTATGGCTCGTGGGAATAAGTTATTGTAGATTTAAAAATATATAACTTAATTTAATTCCTTTTTAAAATAATTTAAAATATAAAGAATGAAGCAATCTTCAAGTTTCCAACAGCAGTATTATTATATATTTTAATGATTTTTATAAACCCTTTTGCTATTTTCGCAGACATAGACTCTCGGCCAAAAAAATAACGCAAACTGTTTATGATAAATTACTATGATCATCGACCAAAAGATGCCGTCGTATTTGAATAGCATCTATTAAAATTAGGCTTAAATAACAAATTCAATTCGTAAATTCACTTAACTGTCTATTTTTTGGTGTTTGATGTGTGCAGTGTCAGCACAGAGCTCTATTTCCAATGTAACACTTTACTGGGAGATCAAACGTAACAATATAATTAGTATAACGACAGAATATCCTTAATTTTATTATAAAAACTATTCAGAAGTATAAGGGCGTTTTGAAGAAATTAAATACAAACTGAAAACATTATTTCAAACAGAAGCGATAGACTCTCCCTTAAAGCTTATTATTTTGAATACCAAGCTTTGAAGTGCGCAATTTAGTAAAAGTATTTATACAAATATTATTTAAAGTTAAGTCCCGGTGAAGACAAAGCAAAGAGGAAATAATTTGATCCAAAACTTAACGTTTAGATAAGGGTTTTATGCTATTGTTAAGCTAAAAGGCAGGAATTATAATTAACTTGTAAAGAAACAATTTTGGTCTACCATAAACAAGTGATAGAAGTTTAAATAGAATTTACTTTTGTGGATTATCGTTGAGCTAGATATGTAAAAATATAATTGAGTACCTCTCACTTAGATGATACCCCGAACGACGTCTCTAAAACCTTTAAACAAAACGCTTGGTGGTAACACGATTAATTAAGGTACTAAGCGTACAAAAAGAAGGAAAAAATTAATTTTTGATTTTAGACAAAATGGCGATAGTTTAAATGAATTCTCCAAACTGAGAATTTCACTGTAAATTAAAAAAAATTCTACCATTTATTTAAATCTTACTTTTTCATTAATATCTAAGCCATAAACATACTAACATTGACATTAGAAAAATTTCTGAGGAAACGAAATATTCGGGTTTCAAGTTCTAAACTCTTCTAAAAAATTAACAAATATTACCTTTTATTCAAAATCTCTTTTTATCTTTGAAAATATCTAATGCATTAACCTCAGATTTACCAAGATTGAATTTAATATATTTATATATATATGCATGCTGTATTTAAAAAAAAGTTTTTTTTTTTATATGTAGAAAAAACTTATTACTCAATTATTAGTTTTATTGAAGTTTAAATATTTTTTTTCTTAAATAATAATGGATAGTTTTTATTGCTTAATAGTTAAATATTGGATGAGTGCATAAGTTCGTGCCCGATTTCAAGTGCAAACTAAAATTGAAATTTTTTGAAGAAAGCGCTTTTATTAATCAATTATGTATTCGCCATCATTTTCGGCAATCCACTCCCAGCGTTCAACCAATTTACGGATGCCTGATTCATAGAAATCGCGCGGTTTCTCGTTGAATAGTAATAAAATAATAAATCTTTTACATTAAACATTACATTACTGTAAGCCAAACATATTTAACTCCAAAAATGTATAACACAAGGCTTGGCAACCCTAAAATATAATCTTCTTGGAGAGCTAGAAACATACTGAGAGCGAAAGCTAAAACAAAAGGGAGACCTGCAACAACAGGTTATCAGAGCACAACAGCAATTTTTCTCTGAGTTGTTTTAAGTGCGATCTCCAATGAAAGCCACACAAACTTTGTACATACTCGTATACGAGTATACCAACTCGCAAATATTAGAGAGCAAAACCACTTTTCGAGCATCCCCAACACAGCAAACACTGCGGACGCAACATGTTAATATCGCTGCGCGTGAGTTCAGTGCCGAAGAAAGTTCAATAATTCTCCCATTGACAGTCGTTAAATTCAAGCTTAATGATTTTTTAAGCCACAAATAGGCATAAATCTTTAAGGTGATTTTTACGAGAAAAAAAAAGCAGAAAAATCGCTTATAACATCACTCGCTACTTATTCTGCTCTGCGTAAGGCTCGCGTGAACGTGTGTGTGTATGTGGGTAACGCGTGAAACTTAGTTAAAGCTAAAATCTGTGAATGAGCAAATAACAGAAATACAAAATAAAATAAAAAGTTTGGGAAAAAAGTGCGCGTATAATTCTATTATTTATTTACCAAATGTATGTATGTAACTAAGTTAGTGTAACTGCATGAATATATGTATGTATATGTACCTACATTCATAAATACATACGTATGCACAGTGCCTGTTGCATCTTTTCTAGTTTGCCTCTGTCACATTGCTGTGCATGTTTTTGTATTTCGTATACATGTTTTGTTGTGTTTGTGTTTGTATATACGAGTATATTAACTAGAATATATCACAGGTTAATGACGTACACGAGCGTTGGCTGGCGTCTAATTGCATCAGCGTGATGTTGTACTATGGCTGACATGTTTTACGCTTATATTTAGCCGTGCCTACACACAAATATACATATATATCTAAGGCAATGTGTGCTAATATATAGAATATATAATTCAAAGTGCAAGTGTAAACATACATACCTGCCATATTGTGATGGAAGTGTAAATTAAAAACAAAAATAATTGAACTAAAATTAAAAAAAAAATTAAATTAAAAAGGAATTTAAATAATAAAAAAAAATAAAATAAAATATGTTTTAAGCTTCTCTTATCACTTAAGTAATTTTAAATACTGTCTTTTGAAATTCAAAAAACCATAAAAATAAATAGTAAACTGTGGCCTACATTTTGGCGCAAAAAGAAAAATAAGCGTATAAAGCTCAATAATTTGGATTAAAAACGTGTATCATACAAAAAAGTGTATATTCTCTAAGTACATAAGCATTTTTCGATATTTCTCTTTACATAAATGATTTAAAAAAAAATATTTTTACATCTGAAATATGTGAACATATTTTTTACACAAAGAAAACTTAAAAAAAAAATTAAAAAAAATTAAAAATTTAAAAATTAAAAGAAATTTTCAAATGCTAAACGTATTCACGCTTAAGGGTTTTGAAATAAATATCATAGAGGAAACCTTTTAACTTTTTAATGAGAGAGTAAAAAAAAAATGTATAAAGTGATGCCAGCTCACTAGAGATTCGTGAAAAACTGGAAAATATGTTATATATAAATTGTCGTAAAAGAAATGTACTCCCTCAATATTATAATATTATAATATAATATATTATAATATGATATAATATGTGATAAGTGCTGCGCCTAAAAGTATGCTAAGAATTTTTCTATTTTAAAATTTAGTGCGACTTTAACACTCAGATATCATTAACTTTGTGACACTAACCAGAATAGGTCTTAATATTTAAAAATTTTCAGCAACTAAAATTAAAATGATAACTGATAAAAATAATAAAAAATTAAAATAAGTATGTATGTATAAAAAATCATATTTTCATTTATTCCACAAAATTGCGTCTTTACACAAAATCCGCATGTGCTTTATTTTAGCCACAATATATACATACGTACCTATGTATGTATATGCATACTTTCTTATATCTAAATTCAATTTCGATTTTTGCGACGAGTAAAAATTGTCATTTCATTTGCCAAATTCTGCTATTTTTTATCACTCTACGCAACGCTATTTTGCTTTTTAACTTGACTTTTTATATACAGCTTCTTTTTGCCTATTTTCCTCATACTCGTTTTTGGTATTTTTTATCTCCTTTACGGGT